AGACAGGAGGAACAGGCCCGCCGACAAGAGTAACGGGCACGTCGGTTGGAAGAGCAGCTGCAGTGCGGACAGGAGGAACAGGCCCGCTGACAGGAAGAACAAGCCCGTCGGTTAAAAGAGCAGATGCTACTCATGAAGGACCTTCACGCTACCTTCGGGAAAAAGATAAGGAAGGTAGGGATAGTGTTGCTCAACATGATAACCACCTGTAGGAATCTGAAACCTGAATCTATCAAGTGAACAATCGAGTGGACAATGTGATTGCTGACGTGAAGAAAACGCTGGATGACCTAAAACTTAGGGATGGAATTACAGCTCCCGTGGTAGCTGCAACACTTTCGCTACGTGAATTCAAAGTGCCGTCGTTCGACGCAACTTCTTCCTCGTCGGCCTACAAAATACAGTTTGAGGCTGTCATAGAGGCGAACGGCTGGAATAAAAGTCAGCCCATGATTACACTCACCCTAGGCCAGCACGACCAAGCCTTAACTGTTCTGGAAGCTCTCGGTAAGAAAGTGACTGCAGCTCCTTGAGGCGTTGGAGGCAAGATATGGCGACACTCACTTGGAACATGTCTTTCATGCGCAGCTAAAAGATCGCGTGCAACGAAGCAACGAAAATCTGCAGCAGTAGGCCCTGGAGGTGGAAAAGTTTGTTCGAAAAGCATACCGGTCTGTACCTGCCGTCATTGATTGGAATCTGGTGCAGACATTCGTCGACGGCATTCGCGACTGGAAATCAGTGACACTTAAGGTAGCCTTGGCCCATGCACTGGAGGTGGAAGCCGTGAGGCAGAATCATCGTTCCCAGCACATCAGATAGGTTGCAGTAGCTACAGTTCGCAACCGCAATAAAAGATACAGCCATAGGTTCTATGGCTGTGGGTAACGGAGCCATCTTCGATCCAGCTGCCTTAAACGAACTATAAAAAGGGAAGATGATCGATTTCGGGAGGGTTGTGCGGCTAACAGCACCACTCAGCAGCAGCAGGAATACGAATTTGTGATCGAACATCGCAGCGGAAAAACTAGTGTCTGGCACCACACGGCGGACAAGACAATGGTCCGACGAGCCTAAAGGGCGTCGACGGAAACCTGATATCCATCCGGTTGAGAGCTCAGCAGAAGGTCCAACAGGGAACGTGTATTCTTCTACATCTGAAATCCAAAGCAAAATTATAAACAGATCTCCCCACATGATCGGTTAAACGTGAACCGAGCCATTCGGCATGGTGGGCATTAAACTCGCCAAGGATCATGACCTCTGCGGATGGGATCTGCTGCAGTACGGAATCTACAGATTCCGGCTGCAAATGGCTACATTTATTTTGACGTGGTCAAGAAGTCGGTCTGTTTCGGTATAACCGCTATATAGGCACCAGTAGTCGCGGGGAGAGTCGTTGTTGTCAACATGCAGCTATAGGATGAACTGGTCCGTACCTTCAAGACTACTGAGGCGTCAAAAACAGATGACCTTTTTGACGTATATGGAAACTCCAGCCCGTGGCAAAAAGGAATTTTCTAATTTGTACACCGGGTAGGAGAGATATGGTATTAGACGGAGAGGACAACAGAGTCTCGGTTAAAAAGAGCAAGGCCGGCTTCGTCGCCTTCAGATGGTAGTGAACAGCGTAAAGGTTGGAATGAAGTCCTCTAATGTTGCAAAAAATCACGGATAGCGTGGCAAGGGCCGTCTAGGTGTTGTTGCTCCGCTTGCCTCGAGCCCCCCCCCTCCAATACGCGTTGCAGTCTTAGCACGTCGTGATACCACCCCGGTTAGAGCCGGCCCATCCGTGCGACAGCAAAAGCTTCCGCGTGGCTCTACTATTGATAAAAAGTCTTCTGTCATTTTGGCGTACCTTTGGAGGCACACAATGATCAAGGAAGGAAGTTTGAGTCTCAAGTATTCCAGGAAACTTGCCGAGTTCTTGGTAATCATAAAATAAGAACAACTTTTTACCACCCGCAATCGGATGAAATAGTAGAACGATTTAATCAGACAATGGACAGGTACCTAGCAAAAGTAGTGGAAAATCGGCCACAAGATTGGGACAAGCACATACAACCGTTTTTGTTGTCATATCGAAGCGCTGTTCACGAAAGTACATCAATGACAACAGCTTTCGCAAATTTTGGAAGTGAATTACGGCTGCCTCAGGTTGATGCCCCACGCAGTATAACCGATTATGCAAAATACTTGCGGTACAAAATGAATGCCATTAATGAGCACGTCAGACAATCGAGCCAGCAAATATCTGAAAATATGAAAACGCGGTATGACCGCAAAATGAACGACAAATGCAGATATGTAATGTACAAACTCTCCTTCTATCTCATACATAGATTTAATATTAAATATTTATTACAATGTAAACAATGATTTTATGTAATATATTTCGTTAGTAAGTGTGAATATTTTAATGTTCATATACTCGTAGAGAAGAATTCAATGTCTAGTATACTTTCTTGTGGCACCGCAAGGTAGATATGTAATTTACAGACTCTACGTACGTGTGTATACGTGTCTCATACATAGATTTTATTTTGCAATTTTATTACGCTGTAAGCAATTATATTATTTTATATTTGTTTTTAATATCATTGGGTAATAAGATTTTTAACAAATAAACCTATTTAAAAATTTCTTTAAACGAAATCATCCGAAGGGCTCTTGTCTCTATAAATATCCCCTCGGTTTTAGAGCCTTGCGGGATATTTAGAGACGATGGCAAGAGACCCGACGGTATGACTTTGGTCCCTTGGGAGAGAGGTAAAGCCCTAGTGTGGGATGCTACTTGCGTTGACACTTTGGCGGCCTCTCATCTCAAGGGTACCTCTTTTAGAGCCGGGGCGGCGTCAGAGGCAGCCGAATTTAGTAATGGCGCAAATATGAGTCTTTAAGAAATGACTACATATTTGTGCCACACTATATGTGTGTGCTTGCTGTAGAGAATATCGGTCCGTGGGGTCCACGTGCAATGAATTTCTAAAAGAACTGTATCCACGACTGGTCGTCGCTGCTGGTGATAAGAGGGCTGGTTCTTTCCTCGCTCAAAGGCTAAGTATAGCTATTCAGCGAGGAAACGCAGCCAGCGTTCTTGGCACTATACCACGGGGAGCAGGTCTTTTTGACGATTTAAATTTTTATTTTTAGATTTTCTATATTATAGTTTCTTCTTTTATGTTGTATATAATCACTTTTAATCTTTAATATTATAATTTTAATTATTATTTTAGTTAAGTTCTTTATTATAATTTTTGTAATAGGTATAAATTTAACGTTGTAACTTCAATATAAACAAATAAAATAGGTACTTCTTTAAAATCAATATTTATAATATATATATAAATTACGTGTCACGTTGTTCTGCCTGGCTAGCTAGTATATATATATATATATATAAATTTTATTGAAAAAGTATACACAGACGCTCGTTCTGTTTCATACATATATTTAATATTTTGCGTTGTATAAATCTACCCTACAGGTTATTAAATACATATACAATATATGTATTCAATTTATAGATACAATTTACATATTCAGTTTCACATTTCCTGCAAAATTATGAACTTACATACGCTTCTTCTGTGTGATATGTAGATTTCACATTTCCCGTTATAATCAATTTATCCTACAAGTTATTCAAATGCAAAAAAATGCGTATATTGCAATCTTCTAAAACCTTTATTAGTGATTCAATAAGTTTTCACTTTTTGCTAATAATAAAATCCAGAATTTCACTTAAAAACCAATTTTAAACTTTTTAATTATAAGATGTAACTTGCTTACGTGGCACAAAAATTTACAATGATATGAGGTGTATATTGTTTCCTTTGGGAGCTCATATTGGTTTGGCTTCATTAGGAAAGGTTAAATTTCATTTGATTCGGTTCGTCAATTCATGACTACATAGTATACAAACACAGATGAGGAGGTGGCAACGAATATAATTAACAGTGAAACGGGCAAGGTCAAACCACGAAACTCGGTTTTTCACCTGAATATTATCAAAAACTTAACACAATCTGATCAAGAATTTGCTATGAGAAATACTTTACTGATGTTTCTTTTTTGACACAAAAATCATTAAATTATTCTCCTTCTGTCGTTGAATCACTGCTTGAACAAAATGCTTGTTCAAATATTTTTAAATTCCATAGACTATTGCCAAAAATATCGTTAAATATTTTAAAACTATTATAGAAAAAAAACTATAATTAAGAAAACAGACGTATGGGGGATTTCCATTAAAGTTATAGCATCTGTAATAGTAACAATAGCAACATATTATCTAGTCATTACTTTTAATAAAGGCGTCGGATCTGGTGTGTTTCCTGTTTGATTTAATAAAACACAGTAAATTTATAACTTTATTTAAATCTGGTAGTACATCAGATCCCCTCCCAAGTTTAGACTAATTTCCGTACTACTACTGTACTAACTTTAAGTAAAATTTTTGAAAAAATTATTTTACATCAGATGTTAAGTTTTTTTTAATAAAAATAAATTTTTCCATACAAATCAACAACCGGTGTAGTTGATCGGAGTTGAGCTTATAAAACATAGTTTTTGTGCATTGGAGAATGCATAAGATGCTTTGGGTATATTGCGTGTTATTTTATTGGATAGGGTGACAAACGAGCACACAGTCCACCTGATGGTTAGTGGTTGCTGTGGCCCATAGACATTCACGATCTATGCTCGATAACGAATCAAAATCAAAATCAAAATGCGATGCGTTGAACACCCATGAGAACTAAGATGGATGCCTCGTTTCCAGTAAAACGGGTCGCACTCACCATACGAAACACAGCAGCATCAAGTTGCTATTTGTATATATATACCGGGTCCGGCAATTGAACTGTCCGTCTCAATGTTTTAAAATTCGATCCACTGAATCGAACGTCGCCAAAATTTTAAATGTTGTTCTTTGACATATTTTCTTTCATAGTTTGATGTGATTTTGTTGTGAGATAAAACATTCTTAATTTAATACGATGTATTTGAAACGTAATTCAGTGATTTCTCTGTATTTGGAAGGAAAAGCGAACATCGAAATTCGTCGAGCGCTGCCAAATCTTAAACTAAATGAGAAATTTGTACATCGTACTATCAAACGATATTCTGAGACTGGTAGCATTAAGAAACGCTATGGTGGAGGACGGCGTTGTACTGGAACGGCACCAGTAGTCGTCGTAAAGGTACGTCACCGATTGGACAGAAATCCAGCGCGCTCAGCAAAACAGCTCGCGCAGGATCTAAACGTGAGCAACCGTAGTGTTCATCGTATATTGAAAGAAAAGCTTAAGGTCAAACCATTGAAAAAAAAAAACATTTCTCAGAAACTCACAGCTTTGCAACGTAGTAAACGGTTAGAGCGATCAAAAGAGCTGATTCGCTCTGGCGAGCTTCCCAATTTGGTGTTTTCGGATGAGAAAACTTTCTGCGTTGAGCAGTTTCTTAACAAACAAAATGACCGTGTATGTTTGAATGGACGTATCAGTGACCATGCGGACGAACTGCAAGTCACTCGACGTCAAGGAGCCGATCAAATCATGGTCTGGGCGGCGGTGTCCGAAAAAGGCCGTTCACCGTTCGTTTTTCTCCCAATGGGTCGCAACCAAGTCAAAATAAATCAGCAAATCTATCGAGACAAAGTCTTATATATATAAATACCTGGGCTGATACCGTGGGCACGTAACACGTTCGGTTCTGAGCGTTGGACTTTTCAGCAAGACTCGGCACCATCGCACAGAGCAATTGGAATGCAAAATTGGTTGAAAGCGAACGTTCCAGTGCTAATCGACCGAGATATGTGGCCATCGTTATCACCCGACTTGAATCCGCTAAACTTTTGTATTTGGGGTGTTTTACAGGCCAAGGCTTGTGCTACAAAACACACGTCGGTGGAAGCGCTCAAAGCTAGTCTTACGCGAGAATGGAATTGTTTAAGTGATGACGTCGTTCGAGCAGCGTGCGCTTCGTTCAGGAAGAGACTCAAGCTTGTAGTAAAGGCTAAAGGCGATTTTATTCCATCGGTTTAGCCATAACATGAATTTGAACCATCTATTGTCACATGTAAAAAGCGTATAAATAAATATTGAAAATTAACAAAAATAATTTATTTTCCCATACGGACAGTTCAATCGCTGGACCTGGTATACACATAGCTGTGCTGTAGCGGATTCTAAAAAAATTAAAGTATTACGGTTGCTAATTCGCCCACCAAGCGCGGCAACTACGGTAAGTATCCCCTAATGGGGCAATTTTCATGGAGGCCTGTATTCTGCTGTGGACTTTTGATAGGCTGTAATGATAAATATTACTTTATAATGTTACGAGCTTGAGGTTCGTGACAATAAAAATTGCCGATAAAATTACCTAAATTAACACTTTAATTTACTTTACACAAATTAAAACTTAAAACACTAATAATTAAACACACTAATTCACTTTATTCCGTTCCGAAGCTTCGGTTGACTCGCCAAATCCAATACTGCCCCGATCGCATCTTGCAGCGCCTATATATACAAATTAGCAATGAAGCATTCGGAATATTCAAGGAAATGCGCGCAAGGCGACGAGTGTTCGAGTGTAGATTTTCTAGAAACTTAGTTCTTCGGATGGCGCTGTCGGTTGGAAGATTTGTGATGTCATTTTCTGCAAAGCTCCCCTCGCTCTCGTTCCTGACACTAGATGGCGCTGGTGTATGACGTTGACTTATTCACGCAACAATAATATTGTCCCCGAGAAATTTACAGTAGCAGTATGTATGTAGTATATGATAATTACGGTTGTAAATTTTAGTATAATTGTATTAATAAATTATTATCCATTAATACCTGATAACATTTGTACATTTTATAAATTTTAAAATGTTAAAAATAGAACCAAATAGAATAAATAAAATTTACTTCGACTTTGAAAAGTTCAGGAAAGATTTATAAAATTCGAGTACATACAGGCATGTAGCGTACACGCTTTATGAATAGACTCTGTAAGGTGGCTTGTTAATACAGCCTTCAGTTGTCCTACTTGTGCGGGTTTGATAAATGAAATGGATTCATGAACATCTTTTTCGAGTAACTCGATATTACGACATCATTTCGTTTTAAATTTACGATCACATTTTACCTAATTTATAGTCAAATAAATAACTCTTCCAAATAAGCACTTTTATCAGCTTTCGTGAATAGTATCAGTTCTTGTACTGAAAATATGCGCCACAGGTCGTACATATCATATTGTTACGAGCTTAGGGTTCGTGAAAATAAAAATTGCCGATAGAATTACCAAAATTAACACTTTAATTCACTTTACACTAATTAAAGTTAAAACACTAATAATTAATCACACTGATTCACTTTATTCCGCTCCGAAGCTTCGCTTGTCTCGCCAAATTCAATACTTCCCCGATCGCATCTTGCAGCGCCTATAAATACAAATTAGCACCGAAACATCCAGAATATTCAATTAAACACGCGCAAGGGGCCGAGAGTTCGAGTGTCGACTTCTAGAAGCTTAGTTCTTCGTTCCGAGACTAGATGGCGCTGTCGGTTGAAAGATTAGTGATGTCATTTTCTGGAGACCCCAGAAAATGACATCACTAATCCCTCGCTCCCCTCGCTCTCGTCCTTGACACTAGATGGCGCTATTGCCGGATACATGACGTCGACTTATTCGCGCAACACTGCCCCCTCCTAAGACACGCTCGTCCCGAGCATTATCGGCCCCATAATAACGCGCCACGCGATCCAAATGGACGATTTTAAGAGTCCCTCTTGCGCCTTTCTGTATCCGGTAGGTTACATCGTTGATCCGGGTCACAATCCGGTACGGGCTCCGGTTTAGCTTTAAGCTTAGGAGATTTCCCTTTGCTGCGGACTGGATTGTGCAACCACACTAGTGAACCTTCGTCGAACCCTTTGTTGTTCATTTTGCGGTCATATCGGGTTTTCATCTTTTCAGACATTTGCTGGCCCGATTGTCTGACGTGCTCATAAATGTCATTCATTTTGTTCCGCAAGTCATTTGCATAATCGGTTATACTGCGTGGGGCATCAGGTGGTATCCCGGTGATCAGGTCTGCAGGCAGCCGTAATTCTCTTCCAAAGTTTGGGAAAGCTGGTGTCGCTGCTGTACTTTCGTGAATAGCGCTTCGATATGACAACAAAAACGGTTGTATTTACTTGTCCCAATCTCGTTGCTGATTGTCTACAACTTTTGCTAGGTACCTCTCCAATGTCTGATTAAATCGTTCTACCATTCCATCAGATTGCGGGTGATAAGAAGTCGTTCTTGTTTTGTGAGTACCCATAACTCGGCAAGTTTCCTGGAATATTTGAGACTCAAAATTCCTTTCTTACTAGCTTATCCGCAACTGTTGAAGCTTCTTGATTTGAAATGGCGAAGACTTCTGGCCACTTAGTGAAGTAATCTATCACAACCATCAAATACTTGTTACCGCTTTCACACTTGCCACGTCAATGGCTATTCTCTCCCATGGTGCACCAACATTGTACAACATCAATGCACCTCTACTACGAGTGTGAGGTCCCTTTACAGCCGCACAACTTGTACATTTGCGATATCAGTCCTCGACATCGTTTCGACAGTGGACCCATTAAAACCGTTCTCGGATCTTCAGTAGAGTCCGTTTAACTCCCAGATGGCCTCCTGAACAATCATTATGGTACAGCTGTAGAACATCCGGTACTCTAGCTTTAGGGACGACTATTTGCAAATGACAGCTGTCTCCCCGAACATTTTCCCATTTACGGCATAGAACTCCATCCTGAAGCAGCAAGCTTTCCTACTGGGCCCAATAGTGGTCGAACTCATCGCTGAGACGTCGTTGAGACGGCGGTAATCAACACAGAACCGCATGCTGCCATCCTTCTTCTTTACCAGCACCACGGGTGAACACAAGGTTCAATAACATCATCCTTCACCATTCCCTCAATCATGGTTTCCACTTCCTTTTCACGTGCTACCGGCAATCTTCTTGGCCGCTGACGGATAGGCAATTCTTCTCCTGTGTTTATTTTGTGTTGAACTAAGCCAGTCTTTTTGTTGTCTTGAGTAACAACTTCTTCGCCTTGACCAATTCGTTCGGGGAGAGAACACTGCGACAGTCTTCCAAAAGTGTGGTCACTCTCGTTTCTGAATCCTTGCTGGGGGTCCCACTCGATATATATTGGCACCGACGTAACCAATACACTTCCTCACAAGTACCAACCAGTGTGCCTATTTCTATAATATGTTCCCGGTCACAAAGGTTCAGCACACGTACTCCTGAGATGTAAGTGGTCCTGACCAAGGTTCGAGCTACTTTCCATGGATGGTCATTGTTTAACCTTTCCACAAGTACACAACGGTGAGCTTGCCCAGGGTTTCGAGGAAGACTAACCGGAACAATCGTTTCCGATCGCGGCGGAAGAACAATCTCCTTAATGCTTTATACGTTCCCTGGTAACGCACCTTTCATAAAAAGTTCCTCCTGTCCACATTTCAAAACACCTTGCTTAACGTCCATCTCACAACAATTATTCCTCATAAAGTCTAGACCTAGGATGCAGTCGTCCATTATATCAGCCACGATGGCATTATGCAGGTAGGTCACGTTGCCTAGCTTCAACTCCATCTCCTTATCTCCACGGACGGGTATACGCTGACCGGTGGCTATTACCAAATTAATGCGTTCTCGGTTGTATGCGAAGTCCACAAGGAACTGACTTATAAGTTGGGAACTAACAACCGTACGAGAGGCTCCAGTGTCTATGGTCAGTTTATAAGGCATTCCGTTGACCTCGCCCTTGATGATTAGACTGTTCCCATCATGGGTTTGTGAGATCGAGATCCTTGGGGCTCTATTAACATTAGCCAGCACCCTTTTACTCGTTTCCCTGCTGCTGCTGGGCGGTGCTGTTGGCCGCACTACCCTCCAGAGATCGTTCACCTTCCCTTTCCAGGGTTCACTTAGGGCAGCTGGATCGAAGATGGCCCTTTTCCCCACAGCCATAGCACCTAGAGTTGTATCCTTTGTTGCGGTCGCGAACTGTAGCTGCTGCAACATCCCTGATGCGATGGGAACGATGATCCTGCCGCACGGCTTCCACCTCCAGTGCATGGGCTAAGGCGTCCTTAAGCGCCTCGTGGTGCCCGAGCCTCACAGCAGCTCTGACTTCCAGGTCGCGGATGCCGTTGGTGAAAGTCTGCACCAGGTCCCCTTCAATGAGCGCAGGTACAGACCGGTATGCTTTTCTCACCAACTTCTCCACCTCTAGAGCTCACTGCTGCAGGTTTTCGTTGATGCTCTGCACGCGATCTTTAAGCTGCTCACGAAAGACGTGTTCCAGTTGAGCGTTGCCATACCTCGCCTCCAATGCCTCAAGGATTTGCTCATAAGTCACATCCCCACCGAGAGCTTCCAGAATTGTTAAGGCCTGGTCGCGCAGGGCCTAGTGTGAGAGCAGTCATGGCCTGACTTTTATTCCAGCCGTTCGCCTTCATAACAGCCTCGAACTGGATTTTTTAGGCTAACCAGGAAGAAGTCCCGTCGAACGGTGGCACCTTGAACTCAAGTGGACGTAGAAGGAAAAGGGGAGATCTCCCGCCGGGCAAGGTGCCCGGGGAGTGGCCAACATTCCGAGTGATATTTCGGAGAAGTTCT